CACAATCCATAAAAGAACAAATTAATAAATTGGACTTACCAAAATTGAAAACTGTTATTCAAAAGACACTGTTAAGAGAAACAAAAGACAGGTACGTGTAGTGGGGGAAAAATCTTTGCAGAGGCACGTGCCTGATAAAAGATTTGTATTGAGAATATATAAAGAAATCTCATAACTCAAAAATAAGAAAACAATTCAATTTAAAAAATGTGTAAAAGTTTGAACAGACACTGCACCAAATAAGATATATGGATGACAAGCACATGGAAAGCTGCTCAACAGCCTTATCATTAGAGAAATGTAAATTACATCCACAATGAAACAACACTACACACCTACGAGTAAAAGAAGTTAAATTAAAATTAACACAGTACCAGGTATTAACAAGACTGTTGAGGAACCAGAACTTTCACACACTGTTGGTGGAAAGGTATAGCCACTTTGGAAAATATTTAGGCAGTTTCTCAAAACGTTAAACATACTCCTACCATATGATCCATCTATTTTCCTCCTGGGTATTTATTCAAGAGAAAATGAAATATATGTCCATACAAGGATTTGTACATAAATGTTCATAGCAGCCATATTTGAAATAGCCCCAAATTGGAAACAATCCAAATGTCCATCAATGCATAAATGGAGAAACAAAGCATGGTATATCCATTCAAAGGAATGCTACTTAGCAATAAAAAGCAATGACCTATTGATATACACAACAATGTAAACGAATCTCAAAATAATTATATTGAGTGAAAGAAGCCAAAACAAAAAAAGTAACGTATGATTCCATTTATATAAAACTCTGTACAATGCAAATTATGGTAACAGAAAGCAGATCATTGATCACTCGGGAGTGAAAGGAAGGGAAGGGCATTAGGCGGCTGGCCCGATGGTGTAGTGGTTAAGTTCTCATGCTCCGCTCCCATGGCCCGGGGTGTGCGGGTTCAGATCCTGGGTGCGGACCTATGCACCGCCCATCAAGCCATGCTGTGGTGGTGTCCCACATACAAAAAAAGTAGAGGAAGATGGGCACAGATGTTAGCTCAGGGACAGTCTTCCTCAAGCAAAAAGAGGAAGATTGGCAACAGATGGTGGCTCAGGGCCACTCTTCCTCACCCCCCTCCAAAAAAAAAATTAATTAAAAAATATTAAAAAAAATAAAAAGGGCACTAGGGAAATGTTGGGGATGATGTATACGTTTACTGTCTTGATTGTGGTGATGGTTTCACAGTGTATATGTAAGTCCTAAGATATCAAATTATGTACTTATAAATATGTAATTTGTTGTATGTCAATTACTGTGCAAAAAAATTGTTTTAAGAAAAAACTCCGCAGCCAACAGGTCAATCTTTTAGAAGATGCATTACCTTAGGAAATACTATCATCAGGTGGAACACTTCAGCTAGCCAGAGATAATTGCACAAATTGTGGCACTAGGACCCATAATGAGCTGTGAATCTATAACTATAGAATAGAAACTAAAACAAACATGGGGATTATGCTAATGACTATTGTAGATTATATTACTGCTCCCAATTCTTTATCCTCCTGGAATCCACTCCCTTTGCAACGTGACTTTGCAGTTGGCTATCTGACTTGCTTTGGCCAATGGAATGTGCATGGAAATGATAGTTACAGAGCTGCATCTGCTCATTTTTCTTGAGTTTCTTTCGTCATCGTGAGAGGAACATGCCCTGGCCAACCCATGGTCCAAGGAGGATGACAGACAGGGGAGCTGAGCTGGACCAACCCTAACCTTGGAACCAAATCCACCTGAGCTGAGTCTATATTAACTATCTTTCAATTGCATGAGAGAAAATAAATGTTTCTTGTTTAAGCCAGAGAGTTTGGAGTGTTTTATGACACAGCATGATTATGGCAATAGCTATAGGGCACATATACTACGATGTATAAACTCTAATAATATTGAAATGAATAATTAACAAAAGTAAGTAGTGGTGGGGAAAAGGGAGAAAAGTAATAGATAGGGCAAGTATGCTACCTTATTTCTACTTGTCAAACTTTATCATATTAAGTTGATAAATCAAGTGATCGATGTACAACTATATCTAAAACTACAAAGGTATTAAGGTAGAATATGGTTAACTAAAAAATGGGTAGTAGAGAGAAACATAGAAGAAGAGGAATTATACTAATTTCATTATGGTTCCTTTCTGGGCATTAAAGAAACTGTCTAAAGAAATGGAGGATTAAAGGAATTATATAAATATATAGCTATAAAGGGAAATCATTAAACAAAAATAAAAATTTCTAAGTCATAAGATGAAATATAAAACAAATAGGTCCATAGTGAAAAATATTTTAAGAGATTAAATGGAAAGCATGATATAAAATACCACTATTTAATCCAAATACATTTATATTATCAATAAATATAAATGTATTAAACTATCCTATTAAAAGAAGAAAAATTCTGATTAGGTCCTAAAGCAAAGACTACTTTTTGCAGTTATAAGTGACACACCTAATAGAAAGTGATTCAGAAAGGTGGAAAATTAAAAGAAGGGGTGCATCAAGATGTTGCAACTAAACAAAAACAACAACAATAATAAAAACCAGCATCATGATTTTAATAACAGACAAGGTTGAACTGAGGACAAAATTTTAACCACTTCACAGTGATAAAGAGGCAGTTACGAATATCTGTGCATCACACAATGAAGCATCGACTATAGTGAAAGGAGATAGAAGAAACAGAAACATACTAGGAGTAGGAAATATTAATTGACCTCTTGGAATCGATGACACATAAAGAGCGGAAAAATACAAAATTTTAAATGACATTATTATTAAGGTAGTTCCAATAAATACATCACACCTGATACCTTGAACACAGAAACTACACCTTCTTTTCAAATACTCATGGAACATTCCCCAAAAGGAACCACATATTAGACCCTAAAGAAAACCTAAGAAAAAACTCCAAACTAGAAATAGTGCAAAAACACACTCTGACCAGGGAGAAATTCTTAAATACCCAAATAATTAAAGACAGAATGAAATAAGCATCAAATGGGGAGTGGTGGCTAATGAGTACAGGGTTTCTTTTAGGGGTGACAAAAGTGTTCCAAAATTAGATTGTGGTGAGGGTTACACAACTATGTGAATAGGATAAAAACACTGAATTGTGAACTTTAAATGGATTAATTGTATAGTATATGAATTATATCTCAGTTAAGCTGTTAAAAAAAGGGTTAAGAATACAATTAGGAAGAAGCAATTAGATTTTAAAAAGGCCCTAAAATAGATAAACCATTAGGTAATACAATCAAGAAAAAATAGAGGACAAATAACACAACATTAGAAATAAAGGTGACATCCTGTAGAAACAGAGCTAATCCCCCTAAAACCACTAGGTCCAGATGTTTCCTTAGGAGAATTCTAACAAATCCTTAAAGAAAAGTAATTTCAATGTCATCTACTTAAGACCATAGAAAAGGAAACTTTCTAATTATTTTTTACAAAATGAGCATGATTGTACCAAAACTCACAAAAGATCAAAACATGTTGAAGACATTTTTGAAGAAGTACTTTTTTTTAATTAAGAAAAATAGAATGGGAAAACAATTTTGTAAATATGTGAATTATCCCCCCAATTAATTTATTAATTGAATACATTTATGACCAAAATCTTAAAAGAATCTGCAATGAGATTTGACAAATCAATCCTTTAAAAAAACTTTTTAGTATGAAATTTTTCAAGCACATTCAAAAATTGGAAGAATAGTTTAATGTATCCATCACATTACAGCTAATGTAGCCATCATTACCTTCAATAATTACCAACACATGGTCAATCTTAGACAAGTCAAATTTTAAGTTCATCTTAAAAGTAATTAAACAGTCATGAAAATTTTTAAAACGATAAATGAGGAGAAACTTTCTCTAATAGTTATCTAATAGAGCTATTGTAGAAAGGCCTGAAATAGACTCGGCTTTCTGTGGGAATTTAGAATGTGATAAAGGTGCAATTTCAAATCAGCTTGGAAAGGAAGTCTTAAAAATTAATAAATATTGTTGGGTCAATTAACTACTCCATTAGAAAGAAATGAAGTTAATTTACAACATATCGAAACTAAATTTCAGATGGATTAAATATAAAAATTAAACTTAGTAAAATCAGAAAAGTCATAGGGAATAGATTCATAACCTTGGTGTGAGCGTATTCCCAAGCCATACAAAAATTATAGATTTGATTACACGAAAATTTTAAACGTCTGCAGAGCGAAACAAAGTTAAAAGACAAGTGACAGTCTGAGAGAAATATATGCCACATATAAATCAGACCAAGGAAACTGGACAAAGATATGGATACATGAAGTAGGTGTAGTGTTTAAGCACAAAAAGTAGTTTCGTGCCGCCCACATATAGGAAACATGGCTTCCCGTGTTATGTCCCAGAAATAAATTAGGTGATGGTATTCGGGTGATAATTTTCTTCTCTATCTTTTCCTAAAATTTTCCAATTTTTACAATGATCCCGAGTTACATTTGTAATTAAAATCTTTGAAATTCCTTAACAACAACAAAGTCTGGCCTGCCTTATGTTGTTCCCTGTTTGGAGTGTTAATGTTCCACCAGCTTTGCTTTAGTTTATGGCGGGGAAGGCAGCAGGGTTTTTGCTTCCTTTGTGTCACCATGATACCTATTACAGAAGTGAGTCCTTACAGACATTAAACAAGAAGTGCTCACGGATTGGCTAAAACAATGCTGACCCTGTAGGTGTGGAATATTTTGTTGTCAACACATGAGCACCTTACACTTCCTCATTACACACTTCTCCCTAGCCTCTAAGCCCAGTTCCAGCCGCATAACTCACTCTATCAGACCAGTACAAATAACACGCAAGAACTCATTCCTGGCGCGCGCGTCAGCGTGACTCTCGCGTCTCCACGTCCGGAGCCGGCCTGGGAACGCCCGCGCCCCGCCCCGCAGCTTCTTGTGTTGTCATCACGTGGCTGGGGCGGGCCCTGACGTCAGGGACAGGGGAGGGACTGCGCAGGCGCAGAAAAGGGGGCGGGGGACTCGGCTTGTTGTGTTGCTGCCCGAGAACCAGAGACGGTCTTGCTGCGGCCGCAGCTCTTCCAGCCGCCCGACAATGTCGTCTCATTTAGTAGAGCAGCCGCCGCCCCTGCACAACAACAACAACAACTGCGAGGACGGTGAACAGTCTCTGCCCCCGCCAGCCGGCCTCAACAGTGAGTGCGGGCCGGCGGGCTCCGTGAAGGGGATGGGGGAGGAGGAGCTGCTGTGGCCGCCGCTGCCAGCTCCGCGCGCGGGGCGGGAGGAGAAGGCAGCCCATTGGTCCAGGCCGAGAATGTCAGGGTGACTGACAGCTCCCGTTACCTGTCAGGAGGAGTGCTCTTGTCTTCCTTTTGACCTGTCTCCCCTTCCTCCCGGGGTTTTGGGTGAGGGGCTGCTGGGGTTAGGTGTCGGGGAGGGCAGGTGGGTGGGAAGAGAATGGGGACGAGCCGATCCCACCTGTGGTGGGCCCCTGAGCGGAGCCAATCGGGGCGTGGAGGGGCGGGCCTCAGGCGCGGGGAGGGAGGGTGGGCGGAGCGGGCGGCCGAGGGGACGTGGGCAGGGATGGGGACGTGCGGCGGGGACGCCGGGGGATGGACGCGGCCGGCCGGCCCGGGGGAGGGGGCGCCCGAGGGATGGCGGGCGGTCAGGTGTGCGACGGGGCGTGGGCCGGCCCAGCTGACCCCACCTCGCTGGTCGGCCTTCCCTTGGGGCTCGAATGTGAGCCCTCTTGTCGCGGGCCTTTGTTACCGCGGGCTGGTCAGGAAAATCATTTGGTAATTTAGTGGTTACTTGTATCACAGAGAGGTGGGGTGAGGAGCCTATGCTACCTTTTTTTTTTTTTTTTTTTTGAGATTTTTCAGAGTTACTCAAGTGTCTTTTTTTTTTCTTTTTGTTTTTGAAGCGATGGGGTTATGTGCCCTGTAAAACTGTTTATGAACAGCCTCTTGAGCCATCCAAGATTGCACAAATCACGGAGTCTGGGGCAATGAATGTTCAGAAACAGGGATTAAAAAGACACACACGGGCGATTGAAAGTTACTGGGCAGTATTGAGTTGCGGTCAGCTACAGTTGCTTTTCATAACATTCTGATGCCCAGACATCTTGTGCTAAGGTGGTCCCTGTTGTCTTGAGAGCTCGGAGTCTTTTTGGATACGTTCTTGCCTAACCATTCTGTAATTCATCTCATGAAAGAGGTAGTTGGGACAGTTACCATATGGCTAGATGAAATCGTTTAAAAATCATTTGGGTGCTTAAATGACGTTTAAAGGCATTGCTATGTATTTCATCAGAGGGAGGTGTTGCAGCATGGCCTAAAGATTATTTTAGGGAAGAGAGTTCCTGTCCTCACAAGACAGGGATAGAATTAGAGTATTTTAAGATGTTATCATTGCTTATTGCTGTTGCTCCATCTTTTGGTGGATAAATTTCTTAAATGTTGACTTTTTAAAACTTTTGTCTATTTTATGTTCTAGAATGTAAGATTTATATATTATTTCCCGCAGTAAATTAGGATTAATTTATGTCTTTGAATGTTATTTGCTTCACATATTAATATGCATTTTTAAATTATTTACCCCTTTTTACCATACTCTTCAGAAGCATGGGATTTTAGAATGGGAGGAGACTTGAGAGAGAACTCGCCCGTGTTATTTACCCGTCTAAAGTGTGCTGTCCAGGTTCACAGCAGGCTGGCACCTAGAGCTGAGGTTTTTACTTTTACCAGACCTAGTGCTCCTTTCAGGACACTTCAGTGGCCTAGAATCCCCTGGTTGTGTGGGTTTCTTGTTCTCTCAGCATGTTATTCCACCTAATGTACAGAGGTGACCTGCCTATCTCTTTTTAATATACCGTTTTTTAATTGTACCCAAGTGTTTTCCTATGATACTTGTGTAAGTTGGGTGTTTGGTTACCTGTGTGTACATTTCACAGAAAGCAGAGGAATTTTAATTTTCCTTTGACCATTTAACAAAAAAATGAGGTTGAGCTATATGTGATTGTTTGTCTCTGAGTCTCACAGCCCTTTGAAGTATTTGATGTCCTTGGCCAATCAGTAGCTGCTACGTGTATAAGAGCTCTTACAGAAGTAGAAGAACACTCAGCCTGTGTGGGATATCAAAATGTTGCTTTGGGAAATCTGCTAGATAGAAAGTGTTGTATTTGGGGTAGGGTGAGCTTTTAAAAGTGACTGAAAAGCTTTTAGGTAGTGCCATATTTCATTCCTCGCGTTTTGCCTTTTACTGTTTTTTTTTTTTTTTAGCTCATTATACAACACTGGACTGAACAAAACAAGAAGGCTTATTGATTCCTTCAAGTGATTTTTGAGCACGGAGCAAAACAACTTATTCAGGCATCTAATACTATCTTAATTGCTGATAAGTTGAAGTTCTTTGTTGGGTAAAGTTGCACAACTAAGAAAAACAGGAGATGAACTCATTGTACAGATTATCCTTGGCTTGGGATTTTATCTTTAGTTCAGAGGTCAAAGCAGAGTTTTAATAGCAAATTATTGAAATATGTGGAATAATGAAACCTTTCTCTGATTTTTTTTTTTTTAGTTTAGCATTGTAGGAGGACTGTACACTTTCATTACAAATTAGTGGACAAATATCTGAACTACTTCCAAAGTTAAAAGGATATTTTCCAGTTTCCAGTTGTTAGTTTTATTCCTGAGAAAACTATCAAGTTACTTAAGAATATTTGTTTTGGACATTTATGTCTTAAAATTCAGTCAGTAATATAAGGAAAATCATGGCAGTAGAATTTTGTTATTGTTTATTGTAGGAAGAACAGCCTTTTATTTTCTTTTTAAACATCTTCGACCATGGTATACTTGCTTCCCCAGTGTGGCAAGGCGGCTTTTAAGGCTATGACATGTGAAACTTCACTGCCTTATGATACTGTTTTGAATACAAAAGTAACTGGTGTGTAAGTACCTACTTGTGCAAAAGGACAAACTTTGTTTTTAGAAGAATGTCAATGACAGTTCTTGATCTGGATTCAATCTTCAGGAACTTGAATAAAATAAAGGCTTTGAGGAAAGAAGATAAGACATAATGAAATGTGTTACCCCTGGTTAGGATAAGAGTTACATGTGGGACCTTGAAAAGTTGGGGAAAAAATCAGCAATACTCTTTCTCCTTTTCTCCCCTCCCCCACCCCCTAGCTGTCCCACTCCCCTTTTTGCAAGAGCATTGAACTGGTGATTATAAAACTATCAAGAGTATGTACAACATACAGTCATGAATGTAATCACAATTATTGTACCAGCCTTCATGATGCGTACTATATTAGAGAATGTAGAAGCATACTTCTCCGAATCTCTTAGCAGTTCTCAGACTTAAACTGGAAAATATCTCTTGTATTGTGTATGTGTATAGTCTGGCATAAGAGAACAGTTTTTGGTGTGTAAGTAGTCTTTTAACAAAATAGAGCCTCCAATTTTTCGTTTTAAAGCTTCTTAGGAAGAAAGTTCACTCAGCTTTTTTTCAACTTTGTATTTCTTGGACAGCACAATCCTCATATCTTGCGTTGTTTCCTTTTCAAGTAAAAAGGGACATTGTGAGGATTGGTAGAGTTAGAACATCAAGAAAGTCTGAGGCTGTAAATCAGGAATGAACGAGGTGATGAGAAAAAGGCATGTGTAGTTCATCTGTAGTGGAAGACAAGCTTGCTTTTTTCCATTTTACTCAAAAGATAAAGCGAATATGTAACCCCTTAATGAATATCTGTCCTAACTTTCCCTGCAGCACTGTTTATTCCCTTAGATGATATTTCTGGAAGAGAATTATTGAGTTAAAGGAAATCTACCTTTTTAAAGTTCTTAATACATATTGCTAAATTACCCTCTAGAATGTGCAGGGAAGCCCTGGTTGTAATAACAAAATATTAGAAACACTCCTGTGGGTAATGATTAACCACTGCCATTTGGATGATGGGTAAAGTGTGGTGTATCTTTATGATGGGATGCAATGCAGCTGTCCAGAAGACTGAAGTAAGGCAGTACGTGTGGACATTGAAGGACATCTACAAGCTGTTAGGAAAGAAACACTGTTTACAGAAAAATATGTACAATATGATTCCATTTTTTTTTTTTTTTTGGAAAACGAAAGCAAAACAATTATATTTCATTGAAAAACTCTGCAAGTCTAAATGTGAAACTTAACAGTGGTTTCCTTTGGGAGTAGATGTGGGAGGTTGAGAGCAGAGGTGTTAAAAACACCTTTACTGATGTATACATTCTCAAGGAATACAGTAATTTTGCAATAAGAAATGTTTTTTAAAAGATACAGAGTATAATTATAATAGTAATAACACCCAGCACTTACCATGTACTAGAGACTTTGTGTACTTTTCTATGTGCTTTATTCATCTCCTCCTCCAAACAATGCTATGAGGTAGATAAATTTTTTTTTCTTATGTGAAGGGAACAGTATTTTTTTTACTGAGATATAATGGACATGGAATATTATATTATTTTCAGGTGTGCAGCATAATGATTTGATTTTATATCTATTGCAAAATGATCACCACGATAAGTCTAGTTAACGTCCGTCACCACGCATAGTTAACAAATTTTGTTTTCTTGTGATGAGAACTTTTAAGATCTGCTCTCTTAGCACCTTTCAAATTTACAATACATTATTGTTAACTATAGTTGCTGTAGTTTGCTGTACATTACGTCCCCAGGACTTATGTATCTTATGACTGGAAGTTTGTACCTTTTGACCACCTTCAGGTAGAAATAGTTATTATCCCTATTTTACAGATGAGAAAATTGAGACACAAAGAGGTTAAGGAACTTGTCTAGGGTGTAACAGCTGTAAATGATAGACTGGGAGTCCAGCTTCAGCCTGTGCTCTTAACCAGTGCACTAATACACGCCAAATAAATGTTGTCTGCCTGGAGTAGAAATCCCTTTGGTTCTGCTATAGGGTGTTAAGGCAATTATAGAGATCACTTTTGCTAAGCTTTTCTATGTATGTCTCCTCAAGTTCCTAGATTCTGATTGCTGACATATTTTTAATGCAGAAAGTAGGATTTAGATATTGGTTTGGAAGTCCTTCAAAAAAGGAAGGTCCAGAAAACCTGATATTGTTACAGCCTTTTTCTGTTTGATCAGCTACTTCAAGGGAACATTAATTATATTTTAGGGAAGCCTGGCTTCCTCAGAGACCCATCTGGAGCTCCTGGTTCCTTAGTTCTGCTTCTGCCGGAGCAGCTCCTGCCTTTGGCTTGTTTTTGTTTATGGCACACATTGGGCTTCTGTACCAGAAAACTGGTCACGTTAGTTTAATATAAGTTTGACAATCCTAGAAACAGTGGGAGTAGAGAAAAACGGTTTGGATATATCTCTCTCTTTCTCTGTCTCTCTTTCCAATTAGAATATTTTGCAGAGCTTCAAATTTAGGGATGCTTTTACTATATTTCTTATACACTCCAGAGGCACTCCAAATATTTAGTCAAATTACCTTCAGTATTAGATCTGTCTTAGCTTTGTTGAATTTGTTAATCCAGTATGAGTTCTATCTAGTCTTTCCATTTTGTGTAGCTAGAATGAGACCACGGAGATATCATACAACTATGTTGTTTGGCAGTGTAGTCCCAAAGAACTGGTGGTGACTGTGAGACTGTGACAACCCCTGGGACTACCTTAGAGGGAAAGGGAGGGAAGGGTAATTTCGTTTTTATTTAGCAAACATTGTTCTGAGTACTTTACAAATACAAACTCTTAACTAGTGATAATTGAGCATCTCCTGTTTACTAGGCACTTTACCTATGTTGCTATGTTTCATCCTCACAGCAACCCTGGGAGGTAGGCATTGTGATATTATCTCTGTTTTACAAATGAGGAAGCTGAAGTTCAGAAAGGCAGACCGACAGATAGCGGTGGAGTCAGATTTCCAACCAAGTTTGCCTTTGAGCTTATCTGGGATAGTCATCACCTCGTTGAGAGAGCATGTTAGGGTTTGAGCCTGTGTGGTGATTATTCTGATTTACTGATGGAGGACTGTTCAGCCACAGAACTCTCTTAACTCTTCTGCTGTGAGTTTAGAGGAATGGCCCCACCAACCTGCTTGGTTACATTTTCTAAAACAAAAATTTGTTGTAAGGAATGGAAATTATGAAAAAAATACACCACTATCTCTATTTGTTATTGAGTTGGTTAATTTGCTACTGTTATCATAAAATTAAAGCACCTTAATGGGTTCAGCGAACTCATTTGGCCAATAAATATTTTGAAGACTTATCCAAATTACTGAGGCCACGTCCCCTTTCCTGTGGCTCCACCCCTTCCACTGTTGGCCTGAGAAAACGTCAGTGTCCCTGTGGCGGGTGCGCAGTTGTTTTTCCCCTCAGACCAACAAGGCTAATGAAAATCCTAGAAAGATAGGAACTCGCGGGAGAGAAAAGACAAGTTGACAAGGTGTGTTTTGTGCTTAGGGAAAGGAGGAAGAATAGAAAGAGTGAGGTATAAAGGAAGAGAAGAAACTACTTTGTGGGACGGAGGTAAAGCTTTCTCAGAATTTTTAGCATCGTCACCTGATTTAGTTAAGAGCCAGCTGCATTAATTTTATGCTCCAGATCTGTGCACAAATAGAAATTTTTATGATTGTATTTAAGTTTCCTCTCTAGGAGCTTCTCAATTGTTTGTGCTAATTAAGACATAGTTGTTAACTTACTTAGGTGACCTTTATGAAGTTTCTAAGCCATATGTTTATTTCATTTGTGGAGCGGATGCAACTAAATAGCTGAGGTAGACTACAGAAAAAAAATATATGTAACTAAAATATTAAAGGTAAGTAACCTGTCTAGTAGTAAAGTAGCTATTTATTTTTTCAAAAGCAACCTGAAAGTTTTCAGTAAAGTGTTTATTGTATCTAAACTAAGCTTTAACCAGAGAGAAAATTGGCTAAAAGACACATTTTCTAAGGTACTAGTTTTAGAGTTGCAGCTTCTTCTAAATTGGTTGATTACATGAGCTGTTTCAGGAACAGAACTATATAGGTTTTTAGACTTTTATTGCTTCTTGTTTATTTTCTTCAGAATACTGTTGCATTTGGTTTGAGTCGAGTCAGAGTTTTTATCAGAACTCACCATATTCACAAGTGTGCATGATAAATTTGGTTGTGCTGTGGCTAACTTAAGTTATCTGACTTGTCCGACAGGTTCCTGGGTGGAGCTACCCATGAACAGCAGCAATGGCAATGATAATGGCAATGGGAAAAATGGGGGGCTAGAGCATGTACCGTCCTCATCTTCCATCCACAATGGAGACATGGAGAAGATTCTTTTGGATGCACAACACGAATCAGGACAGAGTAGTTCAAGGGGCAGTTCTCACTGTGACAGGTAAGTGATATCCACGTTTTGGTAGAATTCAGGAAACAGATGGGTTACGAGGTTAATTCCCATTAGACAATATAAATTGCTTATATCTTCATTTAACAAAATATGACTCCTGATTTATTGCAGCATGTGTATTTAAATGAGACAGCTAATTGACAAGTACTTGAGTGCCCACTGTTTTTCCCCAGATCAAATCAATTTCCTGATTCAGATTGTATCATTTTTAGATGTTTATCAGTTTAAAAGTCAGTGGCATAGAATTAATGTAACTTTCTCCCATTTTTCTTTGTGTCCCTGTTTCACAGATCACATTCTGCCTTGAGTACAGTTATCTCTGTATATATCTGTCCTCCCTTCTAGATGGTGAGGCTCCAGAAGGCAGCGGTCATGTTTCGTCTCCTTTGTACCCTTGACAGCAGTGCTGCTGGCACGTAGTAGACACTAGTAATCGTTTGAGTCACAGGAACTGCAAGTTGATTCAAATTATAGCAGTATTTGCGCAGAGGCAGCACCAACCAGGTCTATAAACCTGTAAAGATAGTTAACTTTGAAGGCCATTCTGTTTTCTCAGAGGAAGTTTTATTTCAGACCTCGTTTTTCTCTGTATTTGACTTGGGGAAACTAATTCCACTGATTAAGGGCTGCTTATGGTGAAAGAGTGAGAATACAGAGATAAGTGCAAATAGAATGAAACCAAATTGTTAGTTTATTTTTTGGTGCAAGCTTTTTTTTTTCCTGAAAGACTAGGTATAAAATGATACAGTGGTATATTTAACAATTCTTAGACCGCTGATAGCCGTACTGTCAGCATTATGGGGTACTGGACGATCTGGTTAACCAAGAGTTAACTGATGTTAGCCATGGAGAGGATGCAAATGCACAGGAAAAAGATTAAGGAAACATTTAAAAGTGTAAACACTGATTATCTCTAGGGGATGGAATTGTGAATATTTTTCTTCTTTTGAATATTTTTGTACTTTGTAAAAGTTGTGTGTATATATATATCACATATTACTCACCAGAAAAAATATAAAAAGACAAACATCAGTTAAGTCAAGTTCGAAGTTCCTGCGTGTCTTATGATCCACGGATGTTCCCTAGGCAGCAGAGGATTGGTTTGATGGCTCTGGCACGCTGTGCTCCCAGCACCCCGTCTCATCTCTGGCTTGTCCCTGTGCTGCTTAAGCGCCTGGGTGGCTCTTGTCATAAGCAGAAGCAGAGCAGATGGCTCTTTTCTGAGCAGCTTGTTGTTGATTCCAGTAGCTACTGCGTTAGTCTTTCGGAATGAAGTTTATATGTTATATTGCATTTATATTATAGGACTCGCTGATGGGCTTCTGAAGTTTTCTGCTTGTTATGGGCTTGTTGATAAGTGTATGACCCTTGATCCTTGGTACCATTTGTCCCTGGACCTGTTGTTCACATGTGAAGCGAGGTGTGGCCAATGCTTTTGAAGACTTGCCTATCCCCCAGCTTAAATATCTTCAGGCTCTGGGGTGCTGTCATCTTCCGAGGAGGCCTAGAACTGGAGCTCCGCGATGCTCTCCTGGGCTGTCTGACTCACACACACAAACATTTAAAAATGTCTTCACAATTCATGTCATTTGAATTGCCATGCATCTCTGTATTTGAAGTTGTTGGGTAGTGTTTCTTGTAGGAGGAAAAGTTTTAGGATTGTTGGATATTAGTCTCAAAGCTAATATATGTATATTTTCAATATAAAAATTATTCCATAGACACATTTTTGTTACCGTGGTGGGTAGAAGGTAACCCCTGTGTGTTCTGCTTTGTGTCCCACCCTATTGGAGGAGTTTTCAGCCTACACACTAGATTCACTCAGGGAGCTTTTAAAAATACCAGTGCACAGACTCCATCCCTAGAGATCCCCATTCTGTTGTCAGGGGTAGGGTAGAACATGAGAATATTTTAAAAGCTCCCCAGCTGATCCCCATATGAGCCAGGGTTGAAGCTCTAATGCATTCCAAATTGTTAGGAGTAGTAGACAGTTTACCAGTGAAATACTTAGTGTTTTTCTAAGTGGCGTTGGTGCCAGTGGTAAAGAAGAATGTAGAAGTAGAGCAGGGCTTCTGTAGGATTCTTGATTTTGTCATTCTCCTGTCTTGACCTGGTCATGGCTGTGTAAGGCTGGCCCTCACCTTGATCTCTGGCTGTGAACCCAATGGTGTTATGCGCATAATGACAGTAAACTGAGGACAAGAGTGCCTCGTTCTACTTGGTTCCTGTGCAATAGCCTGAGATTTCCGGTTCAAGACAAAAATTGTCTAAATACATTAGTATGTTTGTTTGTTATAGAACCAGCTTTAATCTTTTCCTATCCCCATTCAAGACTCTCCTATATCAGTTATAATAGTCTAGGCCTCATCAGTCAGATACATTTCTGGTGATCTTAATTTTTTAAGTACCTCTCACCCACATCTCTATATATTAACATTGTACACATGCTCTTGGTAACTTTAATAGTTAATATCTATTCCTTTAAGCAAGGTAGGCCTGGAGCATTTTTCATCCCTACTTGAGTTTAGATTGGGGGCGGGGCTTGAAAGATCTACTGATTTGCTGTGGTTACACAAGGGATCACTGATAAAGCTAAGGATAGAACTTAGCATGTTGTATCCATCTATTGTATCAAGTACAGTTCGTGATCATGTGTTTTTATCTAAAAATTTATATGTAAATTTTTGTTGTTCTGGGAATATATCTTGTACTTTTCATTAAAGGTTATGTATTCATATGTAAGCTTATATAATTCACTCTGAAATAGCTCAGAGCAAATATTTCTGAAATAAGTAGAATAGTGGTTCTTAAACTTTTTGGTCTCAGTACTCCTTTACACTACTAAAAATTATTAGGGACCCCAAAGATCTTTTGTTCATGTGGGTTATGTATTTTAATATTTACTGTATTAGAAATTAGAACTAAGATAATTTAAAAATATGTACTTATTCAACAATAACAAGCCCATTATATTGTAACATAACTTTTTTTAATGAAAAATAACTATTTTCCCTAACCAAAAAAGTCAGTAAGAATAGTGGTATTGTTTTACATTTTTGCAAATCTCTTTAATATCTGTCTTAATAGAAAACAGCTGGATTCTCATCTGCTCTTGCATTCGCTCTGTTGTGGTATCACACATCACGTAGCCTTGGGACAAGGTCACTATCCTCTCATGAGAGAATGAGAATGAAAAAGGCAAATAAATCCTAATAGTATTAGGGAAACTGTTTTAACCTCGAAGAACATGTGAAGGAGTCTTTGAGAACTGCTGGTGGTGAATTATTTAATGATGAGAGAACTTTAAGAAAAAGAACCCCAAACCAGGTTTCCGAATTTGAAGATCATTTTGCTTTTATTGGAAAAAGAGTAAAAATAAGAAAATGTGACAGTCTTGTCTCTTTAGGTAATATCTCCTTTGCAAATTTATCATTGCGAAGGAATTCATCACCCCCGAAAATTGCAGGACATTTTGGGAGGAAGGGTGCTCGATTTCATTTTCTCTTCTCTAGGGTTATGATACACTTTCCGATGTGCTGCTTTTTCAAAGTTATACTACGGTACCTTTTAGTTTCCTAATCTCCAGTAGAGGCTCATTTACGTGACAAAATGAGAATTAAAACTAAGGGCTCAATTCTTTCTCTTTCAGCCCTTCCCCACGAGAAGACGGGCAGATCACATTTGATGTGGACATGCACACCAGCAGGGACCACAGCTCTCAGGTGTGTGTGTGTGTGTGTGTATTTAGTTTTCTGATTTACAATAAGTAATTAGAAACAATGCAAACCTCTAAATGAGGATGTTTTGCTAAAATATATTAAAGAAAGTAATTTGAAGCTGCTTTAAGTTATTCACTTTCTGATTCTCGAGTTTACTTAGGCTGATGCAATCCTTGTTATACTCCTTTACAACTAAGAATTTGGGGCCCTATTACCCAAAAGAGTTAGAAAATTCTTGTCTATAAGGTATCGTGCCCATATTCCAGGCTAGTTTCTTGAGTTTATAAATAGAAAACTGAGACAGGTGTCTTGTTTAAGGTCACAAAATAGGTGAAAAGGAAGGTTGTTGTAGAAGCAGGTGTGAAAACTTTCCGCCTCTGAAATCAAAGCAGTGATTTTGAGATGAATCTTAGCAGCTGAGATAAAATTCATCTAAAGTATGTGAGGTTCTTTAAGTTAAAGAAGATGAATATGGTTCACCAGGAGCTGACAATGTTGGAAACATAGATGGATATAGTATTGAAAGCTTACAAAGGTTTTATTATAAAACTTAGGATAAATAAATAATTGTTAATGATTAGAATGTTCATAGCCAGCCTTTAATTGTATTGACGTGTCAGGTCACCTAAAAGTGTCAGAGTGCAAATCCTTGAGAACAGGAACCATTGTCTTTTTCTACTAGGTTAAGGTGCTTGAAGAATGTATGTTAAATGCATGTGTAAGTGAATTCTAACACAACTTTGTTTTGTGGGGTTCTCACTGTGCAGTGTCCTGAGTCTCTCTGCACTAGAAATATTTTGCATGTTATCTTGAATCCACCCAGTATTCTTTCTGTTTCAGAGGCTGCACAATTTCTCCCTACTTTGTGCTCTATTTGTGCTGTTCTCTGAAGCCTAGAAAATCTATGGGATTAAGTACAAATTTATTTTATGATGAGCTTTATATTACAGAAAAGCTTACAGTAGCAAGCAAAAGCTCTTTTGTCGGAAGATGTCTGACTGGAATTGTTGAATTGCTCACTTATGTATGTCAGTCTTGCCATATGCAGTAAGCTGTAACTAATAAAGAAGAAAATATATATAGTTTCAAGGGCAAAAAGTGTATTAAGGAATCCCAAGATAGAGAAATGAAATTAATTCTTTGCCGTAGTCTTTCCTGAGGAAAATGTCCTCAATCTGTACGGTTTTTTGTACCGACAAGTTGAAAATCTAGAGTAGCATTTTCCAAAATGCGTTTGGAGGAACATTTGCTCAGTGGGAAGCTCCATAGGATAGTTTTGAAGTCACATAAATGGAAAAGAATGCAGCCCCTGGGCTCCCTCACCCTCCCACTCCAGTAGTCACAGTGTGTAGCACCATGTTAAGGGCTCTGACAATTCCTGCAGTAAAGAAATCTGTTTATTTAAACCAAGAATTTCCCAAGCTTATTTGACCTTAGACCTCCCTCCGCCTACACACACACTTTTTTCTCCTAATCATCTACCTAACAACTTAATGGAACACTTTGATAAGTGCTGTCCTGGCTCATGGAGTGGCAGGTGTACGATCAGGCTCAACTCATAACTGAATTTAAGTGGAATTCTAGAGCTGACTGCATCCATCCTAGAATTCCAAAGGAAATTGTGAAATTTGGGAGAGAAAATGTAAGACTTTGGCCTCTGTATCAGATTGTGATAGGATTGCCGTGTGATCTCTCTTCAGAAACAAGTACCTAAAAGAACACTGATTATCTGGTTATAGTGATATTAACAATCAGATTGGTCAATTTAGACAAGGTTACATTTTTGGAAAAGCAGTCTAACTCCTATAAGGTCAACATTATGACTTTCAGAATAAGACTTTTAATAAGGGGGAAATCAGTAGGTATAGTTTATTTAAACATTCAAAAAGCCTTTTACATTGCTTTTTTTTAAATTGAGGAAATGATAATTTAAAAATTAATTACTTTAGGGTTTGGAAGGATGGATTTTTGAGAAGCAAGCTTAGGGTTGGGAAACAGTTAACAAAGGACTGTTATGGTACTTGCACGCATTGAATATTTTTGTATATGTCTACATGAGGAATATATGACATTTTTAACCTTTTCTAGGAGGAGGAAGGAAAGGTGCTAATATTTATTAGATATATTCTAGGTGCTAAATTTAATTAAAAAAAAGTTTTCCCACCTGTAATGTTGTCAGTCCAGTGAGAGAGGTAGATATTATCCCCATGAACAAATGGGAAAGGTGAGGCTTTGTCTTAATTAAGTTACTGGTCTAAGATCACAGGGTGAGTGAGTGATGGAGCCAGGATTAAAACCGTTGCTATCTGAGCCTGTGGCCCCTGTTCCTCCTACTGAAATAAGTCGAAACATGGGATTGATTGCAGGGGAGGTCGCGAGGTCGTGAGAATGAACTAAAACATGTCTGGTGAGATGTGGTATGTGGAAGCCTACAGTGTAATGCATTTAGGAAAAAGAACATTCGAACTATACTTTTAGGATGATAGTCCTCACGAGTTTTGTAGCAGAAAATAGACTGTAGGTTATCTCTTGAAAGCATTTTTACAGTGTGTTGCTGGGACCAAAGAGGCCAACGTAGTGTTGGGCATCATTGGAAGACGATTCAAACAGAAAATATCCTCATTTTTCCCCTTGTAAAACTGTGGTTTATCTGTTCATGGACCACGGTATGCAGTTTAATATCCGCATTTAGAGACCTAAGAGGACTGGAGGTAGGCCAGGGAAGAAAATGTAAGTGATTAGAAGCTAAGGGACTTCCACATGAGAACAGGCGAAAATGATCAGAATCTTCTCTCCACATAGACGGAGGGGTTGAGAGAGGGTTATTGATTCGGTCTAAAGCATGCATCTGATTTAATTAGATTAAGTGCATTTTTACCATATCCTGGAATTCCAAAAATCAGAAAACAATTTAAAACCTAAAATTGACAAATTTTAAATTAATAAAAGGAAGCACAGGGTGGTAGTCACTGAGGAGAGCTTATGATCCTTATTCTTAAGATAAGCATTCTAAACTGATCTAAGGAATTTTTTTTAATGATTAGTCCAAAGATAACTTCGCTTCATGCAACTGAGAGAAAATTACATCATATTAAAAAAAAATTAAAGCAAAAAGTCTTATTACATTTTCATCCTCTTGGAAAGTATGAAACATGAACTTGTTCACAAATTTAAACCTAAATCTTTGAGCAGTTTTAGAGAGAGACGTGGAGACCAAGTTGGAAACTGTACACAGAAGTGACCTGTGGTGTGTCAAATATAGTCAGATATTGTGTGTACACAAACTGATCTATAAGTAAATTGTAACAATTTATTGTTTTTGATTTGGGGATGTTTTCACTTTTACTCCAAAGAGCCAACTCATGATTCTGAGTAATCTCATTACCCACTGGAAGAAACTTAATCCTAAAGGCGACATTGTGTCATTCAGCAGAATTTGCCAAGTCCAGGAAAACTAAATAAGAATGATGCCACCAGAGTAGCAGAAATCCACAGGGATTTCACTTTCGTTTTGATAATCTCTAGCTATTGGTAGTCCGTTTGTACTGTCTGAAGCTACCTTCCTGGGGCAGTTATTTCATAGAGTGCTAGACCTGTCAGAAAAGAGTCCCGTGGATACGGCAGGCTGTGTGTTTCATGACTACCTACCGAGAAGAATGAAAGCTCTGGTCAAAGAGTGAATCCTATTCAAACAAAATAACCGAACAGAACAGTTCTTAGCTTGGAGACCGTTTGGTCTGAGGTCAGAGCATCACGTTCCTTAAAACTGAGTAAATAAATAGTGCTGTATCATTTTTAGGAATTTCTCATTCCTGTGGATTCTGTTGAAACAGAAGCTACTGGAAATTTTAATTGTTCTTGACCTAAAACTGTAGGTTATCATTAGCAAGAAAAAAGATTTTTTCATATATTTGATATGAACGATGTCAAATTCTGACTCAGTATAAAATAAATTATTCCAAAAAACTTTTGGCCTAAGTAGTTTTGACTAAACCTTGGGAAATGTTTGGATATCGATTTGTCTGAAAAATATAATCTCCTTCCAGGGAGTAAAACCTTGCTTAAGAGTGGAGGCTCTAGGGCTGGCCCCGTGGCTTAGTGGTTAAGTGC